AAAAGAACCAGTTTGCGTCAGAGTAACTTGATGAATGGAAAAGACAAGGCCGAAGCCTGGCACAAGCTTAGGGTGTGGAGAGCGTTTTTCTCACATCCTCTCAGAATTCCAACAAACCACCGACTGGGGCGGGTCACTGATGTGAGGCTTTTAAGGTCTGAGAAGATTCACGCCTCTCAAGATGGGCTTGTCCAATGAGAAAGGCCGGAATCCCAAGTGGGAGTTTGGAAATACTGGGGAGTTTATGACCCTTTGTGTGGAAGCATGGTAATTTGCATATGGAACTTGAATCGAAATTACTAAAGATTCTCAGGACACTAATATATTGCCTATGTACCAACATATAATATACACTCTCGTTTAGATCATCAGAAGACTAATTCATAGATACTAAACATGGTAGGATTACATATAGGCAAGATGACAGGAACGAGTGGTTCCCTCATAAGCCTGCATAAAACAGTATAAAATCTCAAAGACAACATACACAATGACCTGAAGGATATGTGTTTTCATTCAAAGAAAGGTTTTCCTATTAATTAATTAGAGAAGAGTCCATTTTTACTGTGCACTGTGTCTTTCCTATGGAAATTGTAGTGAGAGGGGTAATTCTCAACATGCCATTAGGTCGTAAAATCTATCTGGTCTAGCAAAGGTGTCAGGGTTGCCATGGTAACCAGGGTCCTGGGCCTCGTTCACAGACAACTTGGCACCCAGTATGTTTATTGGGTGAGGGGTCTGTGAATGTTTGTTAATCTAATGAATAATTGATTTGTTAAATTAAATGAAAAATGGTGTGTCTGATTGGTCCAGACGCTACAATAATCCTATTCATTATTTGATTATTTAAATCTCCTGTTTAAAAATAGGAAAATAGACGCACTATAGTTGTATATAATTATACGCAATATAGTTATGTATATATCTGTTTATAATACACATTTTAAAATTGTATTGCATACCTGCTGCCGCCAGCCATAAGACCCATTTCCAATGTTTACGTGCTTTTCTTATTTTTCTGCTCCCAGTCGCTGTGGTGGAGCAGTTATGAAGTATTGTTCTATTAAATACTTTCCAGCATTTCAGAAATATGTATGCAAATTACACCGAAGTACAACGTTACCTTACGGTGTTCGGGAGTGCTCAAAAAGGGTTTAAACTGAATTCTGAATCGATTTCTTCTCGTAAACTCAGAGATATGGATTCGGATGGCAGTTAAATTACCATACGACCTTGGTGTTTGTCAAAAAAACAGTAGGTTATCATTACCGTGGGAAGTAGGGGTGCTGAGGGTGCTGCAGCACCCCCTGGAGTGTAGCCCATGAAAAAATGGGGGTGCTGGGGGCGCGGTGTTAAAAATAAATGAATGAACGATTTGTAACAAAAAATAAATAAATAAATAAAATGTATTTTTATTAATTTGTATATTCATTAAAATTCATTGAAAAAAGCAGCCTAAGCCTGACAAGAAGCCACGGTTAAAAATGAGTTAAGTTGAATAAAATTGACTGTGAAAGTCGTTTTAACTTATTAAACTGAGTTAAAAAATCATTTGTTGCCATGAGTTTTTGATCATTACCTGTAACATGTCTGTTCCGTAACCAAATTAAGAATTAACGACCATTTCTACAGACATAGCAAAGAGACAGCAGAGAAGAGAGAGCGTTTAACTCAGCAACAGATCTCGCATCCTCACATCTGTAGCGCTTATTTTTATCTTTAATTTTTTTAAGAATAGGAAAGGCCTAACGTTAAAGATAAAAAATAAGCGCTACAGATGTGAGGATGCGAGATCTGTTGCTGAGTTAAACGCTCTCTCTTCTCATTAAACTTTGAACTTTTATTAACAAAATGAATAAGGATATGTTTTACCCGCGTTTAACACAAATATGGATTTCCCCTTAGGCTAAAACGGTTGTTTAGTTTGTGGTTTATTATCTTATTAATTAAAACACATTAGCCCAATGGCATAGCGAGTCAGCCCCGGGCCCATATGCAAAAAAAAGAATGAATTGATCAATCAGAGTTTTAAAAAAAGTCAAAAGAATGATAGATGCCACAGACTTTTTTTTTTGTTTTTTTTTAAGGAGTAGGCCTATAGGTGGAATTTTCACATTAACTTCACGCAATATAACATGATTTTATTATTTTATTTTTGACTTTATTCTTAAAATATTATGACGTTAATCTTATTTATTTAGTTATTTTTCAACGTGGCACAAAAATGCTGCCATATAGGCTACTGAATGCAAACACAATTTTGGCACAGTGGCCCAAAAATAAATAAATAAATAAATAAATAAAATAAAAAACAAACAAAAAAAAGTTAAAAATAGTGAGAGGATATTTGAATTATTTGTCAATAAACGAATGTTTTCTGAGTCAGTGTCGCAAAGATGAATTTGACCAACCTGACTGGCCATCTCCTCATTGGACGTGCCTTTAGAGAGCAATGCATCTTTACGGATTACATAATGAAAGAGTTTTTGTTTTCGATTTGAATTATTTCGTTTTAAAACAGTAATATAAAGCATTCTATAGATGTATTTATCATGTCGGTGAAGCGCTCCTGCTTAAGACCAAGAGGACAGAAAGCGCATCCTGTTTGTTTTCCTTATTTTACAAAAGCACAAGATTTTGTTGATATTGTGAGTGCACACAAATACAAGTAGACCCTTTGCAGTTCCGAATGATGTATACTCTTACCTTTATGAGGCAAAATGACGGCGTATTTTTAAGTTTACACTGTTATTAAAAGAAAATTTAAAAAAATGCAAGTGATCACGCTGGCGCCTCCATGTCCTGCAAAGTGCGCTTTAGCTTCCACTCTCCGCACAAACGATTGGATATGCGCCTAACAGCGCTCATTTATCTAGGTTAAATGTTTAAATTAATACTGTGAAATGCATAAAGTGTTTTATGTCTGTTTATTTTAGGCAAGTCATGTTGGTTTGAGAAGACTAAATTGATCAAACATAATGCTCAACTCACTGTCTGCCTCTGGCCACTTGGCCATTCCTTTAAAAAACAAAAACTTTAATTTAACAAACATAAAATGTTCCAAACATATTTCTAAATTAACTTAATAAAGAAACAAAAATAAAAATAAATATGACCACTTTGCCATTAAAATTAAAAACCAAAACTGAATTATTTTAATAGCTGAGCACCGAGAATTCTCATAAGCTGTGGATGATGCAGTCAACATGGGACTGCATTACATCCTGCAAGTGGTTCATTGTTATTTTTTTAATGAAAACCCAGCAACAATAAAGACGCTCACTTATATTAACCGAAGAAATTAAAGTTTTATTAACAAAAGTTTTGCTTTTGGATCCGCTATCACAGTGTCAGTCTTCTCGCGTTACCCTTGTCACGTGACCCCCCTCCCCCCGTTTTATTTCTCAGCCCCCCCTGCTCAAAATACGTTCCCGCGGCTATGTAGGTAATTCAGCCGGGGATTTTTACGGGGGTGATGAGAAATAAACACCGACATTCTGGATTCGGAATGCAATAAAATCACCGACTACCCCCTGTAAATGGTGAAAATCACTTACGTCCCCCTGAGAAATAATTACCATCCGAATAGGGCTTAAGATGGTCCTTTCAGCAAGATGTGTTGGAGTGAGCACTTGCTGTGCACAGAAGTTCTATGTGGTATTTTGACTTGTGTGTGTCATGCGGTTGTGTGAATTAGCAGTGCGTGAGGCATGTCTGGTGTGTATGGTTTGTTTAGATGCCGTGTATGTGCTGTGGTTGGCTGGGTGGCAGGTGATAAAGGCTGAGTGGACAGATAGGGGATGAAAGCCGTGCAGGTGTTTGGCTGTGAATGGACAGGGAACCTCTCCAGCCCCCTGGCATTTCTAATGAAACCAAACGGATGCATGCGTGTCTGTGTGTGTGTTCACGTCTGGTCTTTGAAGCCACAGGACAAAGACTAACCTTTAACTCAAGGTAGCTTGCTGCTGAAGCTGGCCTCAGACTCTCTCTCTTACTGAAGTCACAGGGAGCAGCGTTCTTCAGATCTGAAAATGAAAGAGCAGAGGTAAAAAAAAAAACTAATATATAATTTTTAATCTATACATTCCTGGATTTCAAAAAAAAAATCTTGAAAAGAAAGTCGATTCACTCTGTTACCATCTTGGTAACATACCCAGAAAAATTGACGTTTTAGTATCATTTGTCAAATATCCAATAAATTAAAGTTACTGTTAAAGGCAAATGATACAATTAAATTTAATAAAATAAAATAAAATAAAGTAACATTATTTTCCCCATTGGTTTTTTATTTGAGAATAAAATGTAAAAAAAAAACTTTTTGAAAAATGTCACACAATATGGCTTGAGTCCTGCTTAACATAATGTGCAGAAACAGCAGAGAGGAAACCATAGAGGTTCTTATGGAACAAACAATAGACTCAAACGCAAGCATTAAGAAATAACCCATAAAGCCAGTGTCATTTCCTCCAGTTGATTTTCCAATCAGCTGGGTAATCTCACTCTCTCAGTGGGGAAGACGAGTTTGGTATTGATAGGTTGGTTTCACAGCTGACGTCCTACGTGTTCATTTGCAGGCTACTTAAATTGCATAATGTGCTGTGGAACTGGTATAAAGAGCAGTCAGACATCTTCACACCACAGGTGCTCCCTGTCACGGGCATGGGCTAAAAATGCTGCCCATAGAGCAAGGGCTTGAGAAGAGCTCTGGATAGTACAAAGATTTATATAATTTTTTTTGAGGTTTTCTGAAGTCATACATACAGTATAATAAGAAGCTATAATGGTAGGATATGTTTCACCTCTTTTTTGAATACAATGAATTCAGACAAACTACTCTTTTAGCATCCTGTTTTTCACAAACTACGTATACAGTAGGGAAGACAGCATATTCGGACGCAATGACTGTAAATCTTCCTCTCCACTGTAGTTCTCCAATGTCGTTTGTGAATCTGCGTATTACAACTTGTAAAACATGTTTTCTTATATATTTGTGAAAACTATTGTCATTTGGTGTCACATGACTCATGAACCTGCTGATCTGCTGTACAGATGTGACTAAACGATTTGTTCATGAATCAGACTTACATGGTTTTCTGGTTAACTCACTGACTCAGTGATTTGGTTGCAGTGGATGTTTGCTTAACATCTCCCTGGAGGGAAAGATTATCAGTGAATAATGACTTTAGTAGTGAATAAATAATGAATTGAGGTTTGTTTCTCATGCAAAGCTTTCATATGACCTTATAAGACTTGGCATATGTTTTATTTATAGAACACTATTATGGTGATTTTAAAGTGTTCATAGCTGGAGTCACTATGTACTGAAATAAGCCATGTAACAATTCTTCAAAATTGTCCTTTTGTGCTCCACAGAAAAAGAAAAAAAAAACATGGAACATGAGGATTTTAACAACAACAACAACAACAGTCTTTTCATTTTTGGATGAACTATTCCTTTAAAAAAGACGCACAGAATTCTCCTGAAAGCAAACAGAACACTCTTTTCAGAGCGCACACATTTGGCTAAAGCTATTTGAATACTAGGACGAATTGTGCTATTCAACGGGCAGCATGTGGCAGCCAAGCAGAGCAGATTGTTGAGGTGACTATTTAAAGTAATCATATGGACAAGCGCACACAGACTAGATCGTTTTCGTGTTTTTAATGTGAAAATGAAAAAGTGATTTGTCTTTGTCAGTGGTGAAGCCCAGGTTATTGATAACACAGCGTGCGCACAGCAGAAACATCTTTGAGAAAGAGAAAGCCATGGAGGGAGGGGGAACAGACCGAGTTTCTCATCCATATCCTCTCTCTCCTCAGAGGCTCTTTATCCAGGCTTTGATGCACAGATTAAAAGCTATTACTTCAGACTGGCAGGTGTGGAAATGCAATGCATGGATAGACAATCACATATGGAAAAAATAAAACAAAAGCCCAACCTTTTATCAGGCGAATAAATAACACCGTTGTTGGCACTGGGACAAGCATGCCAAGATCTACTGAATTATTTATCTTGTATTAACATAAATGGGGGAATTCGTGAAGAATGAAGTGTACCTGCTGTCACTGTTTACTTGCACACACACTGACTGCATTGTTTAAATGTTGACTCACTGAAAAAAAACAATTTTAATCACGTAACAGCGCAAACATGTACACAAAATCAATCCTCTGGATTGGTTCTGAGTGCTAGGTTGTGACGGATGCAGTAGATTACCATGATTTGGCATACAGTATTTTACAGCATCATTCCTACATGTTTCAATGTACGCAAACATATATTTTAAATAAATAATTTTAAATGCATAAACTACCATTCAAAAGTTTTTTTTAAATAAGAAACTTTATGCTAGCATTGCATTTTAATTGATCAACATATACAGAAAAAAAAACAGAAACACTATGAAATATTATAATTTAAAATAACTTTTATATTTCTAAATGCTTTTTATATTTATAGCACATTTATGGCTTTATATTATATAAATATGTGTATACGTATGTATGTATATATATATATATATATATATTTATTTATTTATATATAAATATGTGTGTGTGTGTGTGTGTGTGTATATATGAAGAGTTTGGTTCCAAAACACTATAAATCCATTTTGATTAATTTGAGTAAAAATGTGTTTTCTTTACCAAGAAAGAAGAAAACCACTATTTTCTGTTTCAAACTTTCACATAGCATCTTTAGGTTATAATAACATT